AAAAAAAAAAAAAAAGAATAAGAAGAAGAAGCTGATGCATTCTAGAACATATCCTGAAGGTATAGGTGAGTCCCCTCTACGAGTCTCTGGGTTCGGGACTGTCCAGGCTGCATCCATCCCTGGTGTGAAAGGAAGGGAGTCGGGGGGAAGGGATGGCACTTACCCTGGCCCTTGCCCTGTCACCTGGGGTAGCACCTACCAGGGCCCCACTGCTGAGCAGGATCATGAAAACAATGAAGGTCTCGAACCAGTTGTGCTCCACAATCTTGAAGCAGGCCCTGCGGAGGGTCCACCACATCTTTCCACGGCCCTGGGAGATGTCCACATAGAGGCAGGGGAAGCGCTGCACACAGGCTGCAGGGCAGGGCAGGTGCCACATTACAGTCCTGGGGCTGCCTAGGATGCCCCTCTCCAGCCTTCCCCCTACCCTATCCCCCCAGACCAGTGTCCCACCTCCTCCCCATGCCTGGCTCCATCTGGCTCATGTGGGGGGCTCAGGTCCACAGCCCACCACACTCATGTGTCAGCTATTGCAGGGATGGGCGTGCAGAGGAACCATGATCAGCAAACCAGGGGCTCAGGCCACAGCTGTCCCCAGCCTCCTCTACTCCCCCGAGGAGGGTTTCACTCCCCAGCTCAGGCCCTTTGGACAAAAATGTCTCTCCAGCACTGTCTCCTGAGGAGTAAGACCCAGGCATTAGCTTGCCCAGGGTGCAGCACTGCTCTGGCCCTGGCATAGCCTGCTCCTAATAGGGACACTGAGCTGGGGAAGGCACCCAGGCCAGGTGAGGTGCTATTCCACAGGCGCGCACTCACCCTCAGTGAAGCACTCTTCAGGCTGCTCCCCCTCAGGGTTCTCCTCGGCCTGCTCCTCAGGGTCCTCCTCTGGGGGCTTGTAGTCAGCTGTGCTGCAGACGGAGGAGTTCCCATCGTAGAGGGGCTGCAGCGGTTTCTGCAGGAGCCAAAGGTTATGTGACTCCTAGGGCCTGAGATACCCAGTCATCCTCCCACCAAGTGGGGCAAGATGGGAGGCCAGAGGGGGAGGAGAAAGAGGGTGGAGCAGACTCCATTCATTCATTCATTCATTCACTCATTCATTCATTCACTTACTCATTCATTCCCTCAGTCCTGTGCAGGATCTGCACTGTGCCCTGGCAGAAGAACCATAGTGATGAATGTGGCAAAGGTCCTGCCCTGATGGCACTTAAGGACTGGGAAGGGGCAGTGAGGACACCAAGAGACAGGTGAGGACCTTAGGTAAGGGAGAAGGCTGAGGGACAGGAGCTGGGGTGGGGGATGGTTTGGTGGAGGTTCAGTCAGCTGGGGTCCTGGGAGGCATGGGGAGGGTGAAGGGATCAACAGAGGAAGTGGCCTGCAGGTATTTTGGAGGGGGCAGGGGTAGGAAAGGGGGTCAGGATGGAGCTGGGCTGACACAGTCTGCAGAGAACAGGCACGTTGTGCCCTCAGTGTCTGCACCTTCCCAACCCCAGGGTCTGTTTGGCTGAGAGATCCAGAAGGACGGAAAGTTTTCCATAGCCAAGGCCCCGGTCTGGAGCCAAGGGAACCTGATCGGAGTCAGGGGTAGGGGGTGGAGGTGGTGCTCCAGCCTGGCCAGGCCTCCTCCCACCACCTCCTGGTGCTGTCCCAGTCTAGCTTCCCTGTCCCATCTTGGCCTCTACTCCCCAAGGGGACTCTTCATAGTTGGAGGTGAGGCCCTCAAAGGGGAAGATGGAGTGGGCAGCTTGGGGGGAGGGCTGCTCTGCATTCAGAACAGTTGATCAGAAAACTAGGAGTGAATGGGTCGTTTCCAGTCGATAGAGAAACTAAAGCACAGAATGTTAGTTCACCCAGGGCATCCACTGAACTGGTTGCCTCACCTGTACACCCCAACTCCCATGATCGCCCTTGGAGCTGTGTTTGCCCTCCCTCTACCCCTCCACCCCGCCCCCCCGCAACCTTACCACCCCCCCCCCATCCCCTCTCCTCCTGGAGCCTTGGACCTGGTGCTGTAGCAAACCCCTCCCCCACCAAGCTCCTCATACCGAGGTCAAGGTCCATGCCATACTTCAGGGTGTATTTATAGCACGATAGGCACTTGGCCCCCAGGAAGCCAGCGTGTCACATATTTGGGGGGAATAAAGAGTCAAGAGCTTTCAGAGCAAAGTTCATTAGGCTCCAGTGCTCAGCCAGGGCCAGGGCTGGTGGGGTGGGGTGGGGTGGGAAGGGCCCCTGACTTCACTCATGTGTTAGTCTCAGAGTCAGCTCCCTTGGGAGGCCCAGGAAGGGTCCCAGCCTCGGCCCTAGCCTCTGGGGGTGACCACCACCTGTATTCCAGTCCCCTTCACCCTTGAAAGGAGGGGCATCTTAGCCCAGCAGTAAGGCCCCTGCATGGACTGAGGTGGGATCCTGCCCTGAGGCTGTGTCCCCAATTCTCATTGGCCCGCTGGCTCGTACCCTCAGAATTACTGGCCTGGACTCGGCATCTAGGCCCATACCGGAAGGCTGAGGTCAGCCTTGGGTGGGGTCTAAACAGAAACAGATGACTGTAGTAAAGACTTGGTAGGGACTTCAAGCCCAAAGGGAGATTTAAGAGAGGCCTCTTGGGTCCCAGTTCTGGAGCTGGGTGCCACAGGTAAGACCATCCTGGCCAAGATTGCCACCTGCTGGTTAAGAGGAGCCCAGGTGGGTTTTGGCGTGACCACATCCTCACAATCATGTTAACATTACAGCGTTTACTATGTACTTGGCATGCAGCATATCATGTAATGCCCATAATGCCATGGGGCAGGTACCATCACCCCATTTTACAGAAAGAAAAACTGCATCAGAGAGGCTTTGTGACTTGCCCAAGGTCACACAGAATTTTGAAGTTGGATCTCTGTCTCCCAACCCCTCTAGCTGGGTCCTGGCTGGGCTCACCTTGTTATCCTCAGGCTCCGAGAATGTGTCGGTCTCCTCCTCTGTGGGCATCTCCAGGTCGGACTCCTCGGAGGCGATGGGCACCTGAATGGTCAGGTAGGGGTTGTTGATGAAGTTGAGGTGGTCCAGCTCGATGCTGGAGGGAGGCCCATCAGGCAGGCCCACGTGGTTGAGGATGTGATTGTCCCTTTTCAGGTCCTTGTCCTCCTCGTCTGGTGGCGGCTCCTTCTTCTCGTCCTCTGGGGCGCTCTCTGCGGCCTCTCCCTCCTCCCCGTCCCCCCCAGGCTCCCCGAGGCTGAGCATTGTGTCTTTGGGGCTCAGAACTTTGCCGTGCAGCAGCCCCAGGAGGAAGGCCTTGGCAAAGCTGATGCCCAACTTGATGCGTCCAATGGCAACCTGCAGGTTGTTCATCTCGCCATCCTCGTCAGAGGCTGCCAGGCTGTCGGCGCTGAAGGAGCTCAGCAGGAGAGCCAGGAACAGGTTCAGGACCTGGGAAGCAACGATTGGGGGAGCCTCAGGCCAGCCTCCCACACCTTCAGCCAGCATGGGGGTCCTCAGGCCTACAGATCAGACCAGCCATGTGTTGGGCATTTAAGAGAACATCACTTGATGCAACGCTCACAGCAGCTCATGGAGGGGAGGACTGTTATCACCCCCACTTTGCAGATATGGAAACTGAGGCTTGTGCCTATGATAGGACTCTGCTGTCCAAAGCGGTGGTAGGGTTTGGGGAGGTGCCATGGGTGGCAGGGACTCTTTCTGTGGCTCGGTCTTCTACTTCCACCATTGGGAGATATAAGACAAACAGCAGGATTCTCTGAGCTTCTAGAACTTAGAAATTTTAATTTTTGAGCCTTCTTTTCCTCTATTAAAAGTGAGACTTTTAATAGACCCTGTGCTCAGCTCAGCAGCCTGGCCCCTGTTTCTCTACAGGGGACATTGAACCCTACCCCATCTACTCCTGGGTCCCTCCTCCCATCCCTATGGCAGGAATTTAAGAGGCTACTGGTCACCCTCTGTCCCCTCCCATGAGCAAGTGGCCTCAGGAAGCCCACAGGCTAGTTGAGGCAGACACTTGACCAAATCCAAAATTGCAGAGTTTACTTGGTGATAGAGACTAAGGCGCACAGACTTTGAAACCATACTGCCTGGTTCTGAACCCCAGTTTACTAGATATGTGTCCTGAGGCAAGTTGCTTAACTGCTATGTGACTCAGTTTACTCATCTGTAAAATGGGGATGATCCCAGTATTCCTCACACTGTTGTTACTATTAAAAGATCAATATATAGATACATAATAGGTGCTCCAAACATGTTGGACGTTATTACATGTAGGATGCAGGGAAGAGCATGATTAACTCTGAGGCCAGCTCAGCATTTTACAGATGAGGAAACCCAGTCTCAGAGAGAGAGTGATTTGCCTTAGGACCAATATCATAGCCAGGACAGCCCAGGTTTCCAGTCATCATGCATCACTTAGACTACAATGTGAAGGGCACCCCCAGAGATCCATTATGTGTTGGTCCTTTCTCCCACCAGCCCATCTGTCCCTGTGCAGAGGGAGAAAGGTGAAGCTGGCTGGGGTGGGAGGTGCTGGCTCCTGTCAGCCAGAGGCATAGCCAGGTTCTTACTCTCTGGGGCCTGAGGCAGGGCTACCTGTGTGAGAGAGCAAGAAGGGGTAGGGGAGTTTGTATGTGTGAATCTATTGCCCTTGACCATCTTCTCTGTGTGTGTCACTGTCTGGCTCTACCAGTGTCCTCCAAGGTCTTTTTGTCATTGTCTTAACTATTACATTAACATAGTATCTTTAAAAAATATTAAAACCCTCTTTGGGACAATGTGTCAGGGTGATTTTCACACACCCTGCCATGTCCTCTAGCTCCCTTTCTGCCTTTATGGCCCCCCACCCATATTTATTGGTCTTTCTTTTCTTTCTCTGGGCGGGGGGAGGCATTCAGTTGCCAGAAACACATCTGAGATGGGAATTAGCTGCTCTCTGGGTCAGCAGGGTTTGCACACGGCTCCTGCCTGGGACAGAAATAGCCTCCTCAGGCAAGGAGGGGGAGGGGGATAGAAGTCATGTTCCCATGGGGGCTCTGTGGCATGGGTACCTGTGCCCTAGTCACTTCCCCTTCTTCACAGTAGTCCAGAGAAAGTGATCAAGTGCCATGGATGCGAAGATCATGGGTCCCTATGCTCGCTGGCAGAATGCCCTCTGCCCTCTGGCAGACACCTACTTCTCTGAAGCCTGGGGGTAGTGGTGGTGGGAGGGGACAGTGCCCAAGGAGCTGACTATGCCACCATTCTGGGCCATGCCACTCCCTTTGAACAAACTGGGAGAGCCACAGAGCTGGGCGGAAAATAGTGTCAGTGGTGTGTGTGTCTGTGGGGGGGGATGTGGGTGACAGTACACAGGGGTAGTGCAGTGCAGTGGTTATACACTGGAGCCACAATACTTAGGCTCAAATCCTGCACTTGTTACTAACTTCCCTCCCTGAGTCTTTGCTTCCTCATCTATGAAACAGACAAAGCAGCGCGCCCCTCACAGGGTGGGACTGAACGAATGATCTCCTGCAACATACTCAGAGCGCTGGGTACACAGGTGCTGAACAAAAGCCAGCAGTCACCAGCTGGAGTTGAGGTTACCATCATTACCATGGTGGCTCTTACTGGAGTCACAGACCCAGGCTCTAGGTCCCACTCAGTTCTCACAAGCTGGGTAGCTCTGGGCAGCATTATCTTATCTCATAGGGTCATTGAGAAATTAGGTAAAAGGCACAGAAAGCCCTGAACACAGGGCCCATCAGCTTGTGGCAGGAACCCAATAATAAGACAGGAGCGTTATGCCAATGACACCTCCCCTCCAGGGGTGCCTCAATCAATCTTAGGAGCCACCAATTTTATTATAACAATTACTAACACAAAATCACCTGCCTGTAACATATGATCTCCCCTGGCCTCTTACGCTAAGCACCGAGACATGAATCACCTGACTCTTGTGACCATCTACCATAAGCATCCCTATTTTCCAGATGGGCAAACCAAGGCCCAAAGAAGATAAATTTCTTGTTCAAGGTTTCTCAGTCAGCAAATGGCAAAGTGGTGGCTTGAAACATTTCTGACCATCCATCACAGAGACAGAAACCTCCTAGAGACTGTTTAAGCCACTCACAGGTCCTTAAACTTAGGCTCACAAACCTTTACTCAGAGCCTGTGTCCCCCCAACCCTGCCTCAAAGTTTAGCTTGGGCACCTTCCCCAACTTTCCCCACTCCCTCTGATGCCCCCTTTCAGTGACTGCAGGCCTGGGTGCTCCTCTGTAACTGTCCCATGGTTTCCTCCTCCAGCTGAGGTGACACCCCCTCCCCCATCCATCCCTGCCTCCAGCCATTGCTCAGCGATATCTGAGAAGTGCTGACCCAGCAGCCCAAGGATTCTTCAGGCCTTTGTGGAACGTGGGGCCGTGCATGCGTCTTCTACCCTGTTGACCAGGGCAGTGCCGGCCACCACAAGGGACAGCTGGGCACAGTACCATGGAACCCTGACAGGAATGATCCCACCCCCACCCCAAGAAGGGGAGGAGTCATGGGCAGGGTGAGGAGAGTCCTTCACAGGACCCAGCCACAGAAATGCTGGCCAGCTGGACTGCGGGCCCTGCCCTTCACTGTACCTAGTCCCCTGCATAGCTCCACGTGCCTTGGGTCACAGAAAAGGGGCAGTTTATGTCATCTCTGGACTCTTCCAAGGCCTGGCCTGATTCTTTTTTTCCAGAGCCTGGTTCACAGGCCCAGAACAGAAGAGGATAAGAGGGTGGGACTTAAAACTTTTTTTTTTTTTTTTTTTTTTTGTGATACTGGGGCTTGAACTCAGGGCCTTCATCTTGAGTCACTCCTCCAGTCCTATTTTTGTGAAGGGTTTATTAAGATAGGGTCTCACGAAAACTATTTGCCTGGGCTGACTTTGAACCGAGATCCTCCTGATCTCTGCCTCCTGAGTAGCTAGGATTACAGGTGTGAGCAACCAATGCCTGGCTTAAAACATTTTTAACTATCCACTCAGAGACAGAAATCCTCCTACAGGTTCTTTCAGTCACCTGAAGATCCTTAAACTTATACTCACAAACTTGGCCTTGACCTTGTGCTAGGGGTCTTGGCCCCACCCCATGTGGGCCTTTTCGTACACTGGTCTTAAGTTCTTTCTTTCTTTTTTTCTTTTCGTTTTTGAGTACTGGGGTTTGAACTCAAGGTCTTATACTTGCCAAGCAGATGCTCTACTAATTAGGCCATTCCCCCAGCCTTTCTGTACATTGGTGAGGCCAGTCTTCCTAGAAACCTCAGGAAGTACATATTATTTTTCCTGTGTATGTCAGAGAACCCAGCCTGACTGGATAGAAAGCAGTCATTGGCTCAGGGTCACACAGATGATGCTGAGGGAGCTAGAACTGAAATGCAGGTCTGCCTGACTCCTAATCATGTCACTTTACTCAAAATACAGCCTGATCCTTGCTGGACCAGCAGCAGCGGCATCACCTAGGAGCTTCTCTGAAGCAGATTCCCAGGCTCCCGCCCAGAGCTGCTGAATCAGATTCTCTGGAGGCGGGGCCAGGAATCTGTTTTAAGTAACTCCTAGTTATTCTTAAACAGGTTAAAATTTGAGAACTGCTGGGGGAAGCCATATGAAATTCCATTTCGAGGGATGGGACTTGGAAGATAGAAAACTTCCAAATACCAGCAATTTCATACAGCTCAACCTACTGGGAACAAGGCCCCAGATGATGAAAGGCAAGAGAGGAACTGGACCTGCCACATACACTTCCTGGGTCAAGCTGCCCAGCCAGCCTTACTCACCACCAGGTTGCCAATGACCATGACCATGAGGAAGACGGTGAGGCACATGGCCTGGCCGGCTACCTCCATGCAGTCCCACATAGTCTCGATCCACTCCCCACACAGGATGCGGAAGACAATGAGGAAGGAGTGGAAGAAATCGTGCATGTGCCAGCGGGGCAGGTCGCAGTCTGCAGCGATCTTGCACACGCACTCCTTGTAGCTTTTGCCAAACAACTGCATGCCCACCACTGCGAAGATGAAGACGATGATAGCCAGTACCAGTGTCAGGTTCCCCAGCGCCCCCACCGAGTTGCCGATGATTTTGATGAGCATATTAAGTGTTGGCCATGACTTTGCCAGCTTGAAGACCCGCAGCTGCCAGACAGAGGAAGGACAAGGGCGAATGAGACCCAGGGACCACCAGCCCAACCCCTGGGGCGAGGGGAAAGAACAATTTTGAATAGCCCAAAGTCTCAGCTTGTCTCTTTGTGAAATGGGATACAACCTCTTGCTGCTCATGTGTTAAAAAAGAGAAAAAGTCCTTACCTGTTGAGGATTCTGACTAAAGCATTTACCAGTGAAATGATTCTTTAACAAACTCTACACCCCTCCCCAGGGCTGTCAGTTTGATCTCCCTATCCCTTGTGATAAGGAGGGAGGGCATTCATTCTCCCAGTTTACAGGTTAGGAAGGTTCTGCAGGGCCAAGTGGCAGGCACAGGGCAGAGGCGGCAGGGAGTCTCATTTCCAGCCTTCTGGCTCCTTGGGGTTTCTCCTCCCATCCCATTCTCAACCCCTGGCCCCGTGGGTCTCACATACCAGACGGAAAGAGCGGAGCACAGACAGCCCCTGCACATTAGCCAGGCCCAGCTCCACCAGGCTGAGGGTGACAATGATACTGTCAAAGATGTTCCAGCCCTGCTGGAAATACTCATAGGGGTCCATGGCGATCAGCTTCAGGACCATCTCTGCCGTGAAGATGCCCGTGAAGACCTGCGGGGTGGTGGGGTCCCTGTCACAGAACCTCAGGTAGCACCAGGCCTTGGGACTTTCCCACTCTTACCTCCTGACAAAGGCTTTGGGGCCCAAAGGGAAGGGGTGTAGGGCCCTGAGAGGGGCAAGGAATGGTATCCATGGCCCACGTGTGTACATGTGAGTGACAGGTGCAAGGGGCCAGGTTATGGGCAGTGGTGGGTGCGGCACAGACAGACCCATCTCCATCCATTTCTGATCTTGTGACCATGGGCAAGTCACTTAACTTTTTGGTCCTCAACTTATTCATAATATTCAACATTCGTGAAGCACTCTTTGATTACAGTGACCTCATTGGTATCCTGATTCTTACCAAACTGGGAAGGACTGTCACCCTCATTTCACACATGGGCAATTGAGCCTTATAGAGGTGGCATGACATGCTCACAGTCATGCCACTCACTTCTCTGGGTGCTCAGTTTAGGCTCTTGCCTCTGTGCCCTAAGCTTTTCTACGGGTCCAGCCCAGGGCCTAGCAAGTTTTGGTGGACTCAAGGTCTAAGGCAGGGGACAAAAGGAGCAAACTCAATGAGAGAAGGTCATAGCTGCCTCCCCAACCCTGGAGCAGGAAAGCATCTGAGCTGCCCAACCTTTGAAAACTTCCTGGGCTTTGCTCCCCTCTTGCCAGGCACCAGCTGCCCTGGGTCCATAGCCTGTCTGGGCACATGCTGGGCCCCTCCCATGAGCTGTCACTGGCCCAGATAGCAACACAGTGTGGGCAGGGGGTGGGCAGGAGGGCAGGCCCTTCCTATCGCTCACACCCTGGCAGCTGTGTCCTGAGTTCCAAGCACACGCTTGCCCATCCAACCCATCCTGGCTATGACTGCGGAGGGCATCTCTGCAGGATAGATATGCCTGTCTTGATGGCCTGGGGAGTCCAAGGTCTGATTCTCTTGCCACCCACTAGTCTTGGTCTTGCCCCAGGCCCCACATCTTACTTTCACTGAGCTTGCTTCCCTGAGGGGTGGAGGTGGGGGAAAAATTGAGAAGGGGATTGAGAAGGGCAGGGCTGGAGAAGGAGGCGGCTTTTCCCTGTGTCAGGCTCCACTGGGGCTGGCAACGAGGTGATAATGCTCCTAATGGGCAGGGATAAGCAGGAGGATCAGTGCGTGTCAACAATAGCCCAAGCAGCAAAGGCCCGGTACAGGAGTGGCTGGCCAGGCTGGAGAATGGGGGCACACACTATTCCTCGGGGCCTGAGTGAAGCGGGGTCTCTTAGGCCTGGGTGTGCTTTGCCACACCCAGATCCCTTTGCCCCTTGCAGGCCCATGATAACCTATGGAAGTAAAGAAAGTTGTCACCCAGTCTCCCCACCCCATCTCCATGCTCCCACACCCCTAAACCCTATTCTAGGGTGTGACCAGGAATACAAACCCCTAGGAGTCCTGATCTCAAGATCCCAGCACCTCATCCCACTTGCTATACCCCTGAACACCCTGAAACCCAAATTCCATATCCCATGTACTTCCCTTGTACAACACCCCCCCACACACATGCTAGGAAAACCCCAGGTTTCTCCATATGCACCCCGAGTGTCTCATATTTCCACACAGCCCAGGACAGCCCCTCTGGGTCCTCCTGTAGACCCTGTCCTGTCCTTCCCCCCAGTGATCAGCCTTTCTCCTTGTCCCCTCCCTACCAGGTTGCCCACGGAAAGCACGTTGTCGAAATGCTCGGTCATGGGGTAATGTTCCATGGCCATGAAGAGGGTGTTGAGCACAATGCAGATGGTGATGCCCAGGTCCACAAAGGGGTCCATGACGATCAGGTGGATGATGTGTTTGAACTTCAGCCACGGGGCACAGCAGTTCCATATGAGCACTGTGTGTGCACACTTGTACCACCACGGTGGGCATTTCTGGTGGGCCTCTTCCAGCTCTGGGGGTGAGGTGTAAAGATGCTTAATGAGGAGTCTCCTCTTCCTCCACCTAGATCTTTCCAAGCTTGGCCTTCTGTTCCACACTTCAATACTCCAGCCTCTAGCAAGGCCTACTTCATTACCCTCACTCCCCTACAAACCAGGGCCTCGGCTCCTCAAAGACTCAGCCCTAAAAGTCTAGTGCCTTAGTGCTCTGCATCCCCAAATCCCACCCTCTCAGCAAGGCCTTCCCCAAGCCCCGCCTCGCAACAGAGCACTCTCAAGACTCGCCCCTTCAAACCCCGCCCACAATGCGCTATCTTCGAATCCCCGCCCCCAAAGCCCCGCCCCTCAGAACGCAGCCTCTCCAGGCCCACCTCTTCAGCGAGCCTGATTACCCGACCCCTCCCCCCCCTTGCTCTACTTCAAGCCCCGCCTTCTTGTCACACTCCACAAAGCCCCGCCCTCAGTGAACCCGGGCTAGTCTCGGCCTCAGCCAAGCGTCCGGAGCTGAGATCTTGGCAGAGAAGAGAGATGCCCTAGTGGGCTGGTGGCTCACGCCTGTAATCTTAGCAACTCAGGAGGCAGAGATCAGGAGGATCACGGTTCGAACCCAGCTTGGGCAACAGTTCACGAGACCTTATCTGGGAAAAAAAACCTGTCACACACAAAAAAGGGCTGGTGGAGTGGCTCAAGGTGTATGCCCTGAGTTCAAACCCCCGTACCGGGAGTTCTCAGGGAGAGGTGGGAGCCCATTGCAGCAGGTCGCACCTGAGTCTCATGAGCTGCTGGCCAGAATCTGGGGAAGAGACTGCGATCTCCCGGAGGGATCTCCTTCCCCACTGCCAATAATGCTGGCCCCTCCAGACTGTCCCCCAGCCAGACCCTCCTTTCCCTCTAGGGTGACTTTGGAACTCTGTAATGACCATGGAATGGCATTCCTCTTCCAGTTGGCCTCCATGGCCTCAGCCTTGGCGTGACCTTATTTGCTTATCACCCAAAGGTTATGAGGCAAATGCTGTTAGTGCTATTCATTTTGCAGATGAAGGAAAGGGACTGAGTGTGTGGCAACTCCATGGAGACTCTGGGTGGGACTCTGCCCAGGAATTAGAACACTGAACCTCTCCCAAAAGGTGCTGCTGATGCTAGTCTGACCTTGATTCCCTCCATCTCCATCCTCCTACCCAGTGCTACTGTAAGTGACCCAATGTCTGGGAATTTTATGTCTTATAAAGTTCCCAGCAAGGACAGGGGCAAGGGGCCTCCTGGGCCAGCCCTATCCAGCATTCCCTGCAGCATTCTCTGGCAGAGTAGTCACCTAGATGCATCCTGTAAGGTCAGGAGAGATGGTGCTCTCTTGGGATTTGCAAAGCTTGGACTCCACTTTCAGCAAAGGCAAGTTGGTCTGGAGAGGGGCCAGATCTCTTCTCTGGGTCAGAGTTCCTATCTTATATCCCCCCTCTTTCTTTTATTTCCCCTTTCCCTTGCTCCTTCCTCCCTCCTTCCCTTTTCTTTCCTTTCCTCACTCTCATCCATACACACACTCAGCTGTCTTTCCATTCAGTAATCTTTCCGTCCATCTATCCATCATCCATTCACCATCTACACATCTATCTGTCATCTGCCCATCCTTCCTTTGTTACTGCATCCTTATTCTCTTCCTGAGACTTGAGGGTGGCATAGGGTTGGGGGAAGTCTGTGATTCTACCTGGGTAATTTGATCTTTGATCTTTAACTTTTACCCAGAGAACACTGGGAGAGCAAGCTACCCAGTTTCCAGAAATCAGGCCTTCCTGTTTAGTATTATTAGCCTGTCCTTCCTTATTGCCTTGGCAGCCCCCAAGGCCCTCCCGGAAGCCCCTAGTTCCTGCAGTGGCCTGGTCTTGCAGCCAGAATTGGGCCAGGTTAAGACAGAACTATATTTATCACAACTCATTTCTGGTGTGCCAATATTAAGTTACTTCCCTTCCAAAGCTGGGCCCAGCCAGGCCCCACCCTGCCCCTCAGGAGGCTGAGTGGCCTAGTGGGGAGGGCAGACAGAGAAGGAGGGGACGGGGTACAAGGGCACTCACCTTCCATAGCATCTGAGATGCCACTGTCTGCACTACAGCTGGGCCTCGGAGGCCCCTTCTCCCCAGGCGATGTGTCCAGGCTCCCATTGCAGTCTTTGCTGTGGGCTGGGTCCCCATCTGCCTCCCCGCCTTCCAGAGCCTGGGCAGCCTTGGCCTGTAGACCAGCAAGGGTGACGGGTAAGGAGTCCAGCTCTGAGCCAGGGGGATTGACTCCTAGAACCATTTACTGAGTTCTTTAGGATGACAGCCCCTCTTCTTGGCCTGTGCCAAACCTAGTGCTGGTGGGAAAAGGACTGACCTTGGTAGGAGTGGGGGTTATAGATAGGGACAAAGTGACTGAGGACCCTCAGCACTGAATTCCTCCAACTCTGACATCTGAATGGAGCCAACATTTTGTGGGATAATGAGAAAATAAGCAGCTGATCCCCATGCCACCTGGGGACCTGTTGTTCCCTCAGCAGTGTTCAAGAGAGAAGCAGGAAGCCATGTCTGAACCAGAGGAAGCTACATGTGGGGAAACTGAGGCACAGAGAAATACTCTTTCTACTGCCTGGATGGCACCCATCCCACTAAAGCTCCCACTTAGGGACTTCTCCTCCTGCCTCTTAACCCTTCCCTTGTGCCCCACCTCCAGCCAGAAGCCAAGTAGCCCAGGGCAGCAGCAGGGAGACTGCTGCTTTGTCAGTCCTCCTGCCTGCATCCCCACCTTCTCCAGCTCCTCCTGATGCTTTTTGAATTTCTCAAGCATCTGCTGAAACTCTTCCTCCTTTTCCTGGTCCTCGGCCAGGGTGGCTTCGTTCTGCTCAGCATATGCCATGGCCACCACTGCCAGGATCAGATTGATGAGGTAGAAGGAGCCCAGGAAGATGATGACCACAAAGAAGATCATGTATGTCTTACCAGCTGCTCGCAAGGTCTGAGGTTGGGAGAGAAGGAAGGAGGGGGTCCCATGGCACCCACTGCACCCTCCACATACACAGGCAAACAGAGGGACTCCCTCATACAGCCTGGAGACTTGAGGGCCTTTGAAACAAGACACAGCCATCCTCAGCCACATTCCGGGGAACTTCAAAATATACATTTGCGGCCCAGGTGTTCCTGGTCTCCTGGCTCAGAGAACCCTGAGGACCCCAGCCAGGCATCCTGAGATCAGATGCACAAATGTTGAGCGTAGGCTTTAGGGCCAGTTTGAATCTTGTGTTCTCTCTCTTTCTCTCTCTCTCTCACCCACCCTGGCCTTTTGGTTTTCCTCTGTCCACTTCTCCAGTACCACACCCATGAATCCTAGCTTTGCCACAGAGTCTAGTGCCTAGTAAGCGTTCAACAAATAGTAACCATTATTATAATTGTTATTGTTAACATCAACATAAGAAACATCACCAGAGATAGAAAGCATCGCTACTCAAACTCAACCCACCTGCCCTACAAACAGCAGACATTAAATACAGGCATTGCATGATATCTATGGGGATTGGTTCCAGAAGTCCAATATATAGGACAATATATAGGACTATAGCTGCACAAGTCCCTTATTTAAAATGGTGTGGTATTTGCATCTAACCTAGGCAAATCATCTCTAGATTACTTATAATATTTAATGCAAGGTAGGTGCTATGTAAATAGTTGTTATAGTCTAATATTTAGGGAATAATAATTCTCCCAAAAGTCTTACATGTTCAGTACAGACATAGTTTTTTTTTTCTTCTCGTATATTTTCTATCTTCAGTTGGTTGAATCTGCAGAGGTGGAACCCACGGATATGGAAGGCTGACTGTAATTGTATGGGGGTGGAATTGAGTTTCTAAGCTGCCCCCCTGGTTTCTGTGAGGTCTGGCAGCACCTCACCTAAGACCCCACAAGACCCAGACCTCAGCTTGTTAAGCAGAGGTGGGAAAAGGAGAAAGACTGGCTTGGCGGGCACCCGATGTTGGAGGCCCCAAGAACCCCAGGCACTGAAGGGGTCCCGTGGAGATGGCCCAGCTGGGGACTTGGCCATTCTGGGGCAGTCCCTGCGAGTCCTCCCTGCGTCCCTGAGGCAGCAGGGATGGGGTGGGGGAGTGGCCATAGGGCTGAGGGGCAGGGCAGGCAGCTGTACCAGCTGGAAGAGGTTCTCCCAATAGTCCTGGGTAATGAGGCGGAAGAGAGCCAGGAAGGCCCAGCTGAAGGTATCGTAGCTGGTGTAGCCATAGTTGGGGTTCCGTCCAGCCTTGATGCACTCATAACCCTCAGGGCAATGCCTATGGGCAGGATAGGGGACTGACTTTAGGGAAGGAAGAGAGCTCCAGCTGGGGACAGAGGGGAGAACCCAAGAAAAAAATACCCCTCTGTCTGCCTGGGTTCCACATACAGGAAAGTCTGATATCCATGGCCACAGGGTTTCCTTACTCCCACACTCATCCCACGTCCTTATCCCTAGTCAACCCCCACCTCCCAGGACCCGTAGGGCTCCTTTCTCCCACACCCCCAGCATCACTCACCCAGCATCACTGCTGTTCCCACAGAGCAGGGCATCATTGGAGCCCTCCAGGAAATAGAAGTTCCCTTTGGGAGACAGAGGCCACAGAGAAGATACGTCACCCACACGGTCATACTTCGAGCACATGCACCCCTTGTACACCTGTGGACAGGTCTGTGTGTACCACATACACCAAATGGGTGTTCCTTGGGAACCCCTCCTCCCCCTTTAAGAATAGATCCAAGTTCCAAGGTCTTGGCAGGAGTGGGGGAGTGAACTGCAGGGGTCCAGCTCCAAGGAGCTCAGCATCTAGTGTGGTTTATGAAGTCAGGACTGAGGGACAGCAGTGGCCCAAGGAGAGCCAGAGGGACATGTACATATATGCATGGAGTGGCTGTGCACCTGCTCAGATCCACTAACAGAGGGGTGAGTGGGCGCCAGAATCCAGAGGCCAGAGTGCAGAAGGGGTGCCTTTTCCAATGCACAAGTAAGCCTTGTATGTGGCTACATGAGAGTGTGTGTATCTCATGTGTGCCAGTGAGGGATGGATAAGTGAACAGGATGTGGCTGCTTAATGGTGGCCATGCCAGGGAGGGATCACAGATGTGGCAAAGGAGAACAGGGTACACAGGTTAGGGAACAGGGACTATGGACTGTTGCTTTGAATAGTGAGAGTCTTGGGATTTTGAAGTAATTTGTCATTTGCTGTCACACTAGACCTCTGAGAAAGATATTGTCATATCAGTTTTATAGGTGAGGATTCTGAGGGCCAGGGTGGTCAGATGACTTGTCAGAGTTACAAAGGCTGGTAAGTGATGAGTTTAAGCTCACAAGCAGCTGAGGCAGGGGCTGGGCCAGCCTCCCTTGCTGTCCACTTTCCTTCTTACCTTCATCGTTGATGTAGGCATCCCAGTCAAAAGTATAGTTGTTGGTTGAGCTCTCATGGCTGTTCCACGTGTCATTGCCGTACCATGTGTCATTGCCATACCATGTGTCATTGCTGTACCATGTGTCATTGCCATACCACGTGGTGTTGGTGTCATTGAAGGGTGGGGGCCAGCGCACACACTTCTGCCGCAGGTTTCCCATGAAGAGCTGCAGCCCCACCAAGGCAAAGACGCTCAGGCAGAAGACGGTGAGGATCATCACATCTGACAGCTTTTTCACTGACTGGATCAGGGCCCCCACAATCGTCTTCAGCCCTGATGGCACAGACAGTGAGAGCATTAGCAGGGGTGGGACCACACGATAATGGACTGCCACCAGAATTCCAGCCCCAAGACTTTGCCTACTCCACCTCCAAGCCTTGATTTGGTAGGTACCACTTCTTCCTGGAAGCCTTCCCCAACTAACCCTACCCTTCTGTGAATGCATCTTTAGCGTTGAGCCTCAGCCACAGGAATGAACTCTAAACTCAATGGGCTGTTGCACACAGAGGAGTTTCATAAGTGTCTGTAGATTAGCATTCCCAAAGTGTTCTCCAGAATACTAATCTTCCAAGCTGAGCCTTTAAAAAGTGGAGGTGGGGTGGGAGAGGTGGGGGTGTCCATAACGTTTGGGAAAAGTTGTGCCCTACAGACTGTTCTTAGAGAGAGACTGTGTAGATATTCCTTTCAAAGATTCTGAGTAAGTCCTGCAGTGTCAAACAAAAACTTTAATACTTTATTTCCTTAACTTCTTTGACTACAAACCCCTTTTCCTATATGGTCTATTAATACTCAGGGATCAGTAGGGTTTATTCTGAGAAACTATAGACCAACTTTGAAACATCATTGCATCCTGCCCTCCCCCCTACCCTTTTTTTTCAGTACTGGAACTTGAACTCAGGGCCTATACCTTGAGCCACTCCACCAGCTCTTTTTTTGTATGTGATTTTTTTTTTCCTTAGGGTCTTGTGAACTATTTGCCCGGGCTGACTTTGAACCACAATCCTCCTCATCTCTGCCTTCTGAGTAGCTAGGATTACAGGTGTGAGCCACCAGTGCCTAGCTTGCATTCTGCCTCTTTAGAAAGACAGTTATAAAAATTAGAGATAAGGGCAAAATAGTTTCTACCGGGTATCAAAGGGGTGAGGGGAGACGGAGGGGGTGGGGTGGGTGGTAAGGGGCGGGGGAAGGGGGAGAAATGACCCAAACATTGTATGCACATATGAATAAAAAAGAAAGAAAGAAAGAAAGACAGTTACAAACATTTGGTGGAATTCCTGGGGCAGTCCCCATCGTCTTTGGAGGATCATAGCTTCCTGGCCCTGATCATAGTATTTCCTTCCTTCATTTCCTTTTCTTACCTTAACCTGGAAACCAAATGCTCAGACCCCTCCTGAGCCCTGAGGGTGATGGAGTCTTGCACAAAGAAAGGTGTGTGGCTTTGACTTGGTGATCAGCATGCAGAGAGGTCCTCAGAAAGCACTTCCTGTCTTGGGTCTCTCCTTCTTTCTCTCTAGGAGAGGGCGCTGGACTAGAGAGGGCTAATGTACTTCCTAGCACCAGCATTGATACCTAGTCTCCATCCCTTTCAGATCATTTTTCCTCCTCAAATGAACTGTTTCCAGTTGCTCCACTTGCTTTTTTTTCTTTCCATTTTCAGGGCTGGGGATGAAACCTAGGACCTCACATATGCTAGGCAAATACTCGAACCCTGAGCCACATCCCCATCCTTCTGCATGCTTTGGAGGGGGTGGATGAGCCAGGTTTTGTTATGCTTCTTGATGCATTACTTTGGAATCACCCTGCTCTCATTGCTGAGGGTAGGGGTGTGGGTGGTATCTGTTCCTCAGATACTGAGAACCACTTCATTGAGAACCACTGGGTGTCTCTCTCAGGTGGACTTCTCTGTTCTGCCCAATCTGCTTAGTTTATTTATAACACACTCACATATCTCACCCAGTGGGCCAGGTGCTGTTCTAAAAACACCTCATAGGTATTAAGGTATCTAGTTCTTGTAACACATCTGCAGAAGGAAACTGAGATATAGGCAGGCTAAGCCACTTGCCTAAGGTCAATGTTAGGAAGTGGTAGAAGGGGAGAATCGAGCCCAGGCTGTATGGTTCCTGTCTGGGCCTCTGCTTGCCCACACTGCTGCCCTGGGTCCCCTCTGTGCTCTGGCCATGTGGGCATCCTGCACAAACACAAGCCTGGGAGTGTTGTGACCCTGGGTCAGGCTCCTAGAACCTGAGTGTCAAGTTCTAGGCCTATGCATGGCCAAGGCAGAGGGTCACTGTACCTCCAGTACCTGGAATGACGGTGATGGTTTTCAGGGCCCGCAGCACACGGAAGGTTCTCAGGGCTGAGATGTTGCCCAAGTCCACAAACTCTGTCAGGTACCTGGGTGGGGAGTTGGGGTGTGGGTTGTGTCAGAGCTGGGTAGGTGACAGGACAGACATTAGGGCTTCTAAATGTCCTGAGTGAGAATTCCCAAGGAATCCTTATAGTTGTGATTGCTACAGGGAGCTAGGGAGCAGGTCAGACACCCCTAACATTCCTGTTGGGGCCCAAGTACTGGGAAAAGCAGTGGCGGGCTTTGTGACTGGGGAGTGATGGTGGCAAGGACTTCCCTGGTGGGTGAGAGCCTGTGGGGCTGGAGGCCAGGCTGCCTTCTGCCATATACATGGCATGTGGAAGGAACATCAGCAGAGCCTCCAAGCCAGACTGAGAATGGCCAGGCCTAAACTGTGCAGTCCACACTGAACAACTGGTCAGGGTCCCTTGCTGTCAACCACTCCGAGAGCAGCAGCCCAGTTGGCTGCTTTCTTTGAGGTCTAGCATTTTCCCTCACCCACCCCAGGCTCCAGATGCCCTTGGGCTTCTGCTCACGCCATCATGATGACACTGAAGTCCAGCCAGTTCCAGGGGTCCCGGAGGAATGTGAAATCATCAATGCAGAAGCCTCGGGCCAGCATCTTGATGAGGGACTCAAAGGTGTAGATCCCTGTGAAGGTGTACCTGGCGAGGAGAGGCCCAGCCAGGGCCAGGAATGTCACCTGGGCAGGGGTGTGTGAGGCAATGATGGAGTTCACAGAATGGTCACATTATTGAAATATGCCATTCAAAAGCTGAGGACATGGGTAAGAGTGACAGTGTGGACCTCCCTGCCTAAGGTGTGGATCAGGGTCACAGAGACAATGTGGGTCTCTTGGAAGACAAGCAGAGTCACTCTAAGGTAAGGACACACCTGGGATAATTGCGTCCCAGGGCTGGGGAGCTCGGGGGCTGAGAGGTACTCACTCCACGTCCTTGGACCAGGGGGGCGGGTCGCTCATGGTCATGAACACGCAGTTGGTCAAGATGGTGACCATGATGAACATGCTGAAGAGCGTGAGGAAGTCAAGGAAAGAGAGAGAGCAGAGGGTCTCCTGGGCCAAAGCACCCCATTTTGCCCATCCCTTACCGCCCCCCTCCCCCGTCTCCCACTCAGGCAGGATATGAGTGGATGAGCACCCTGATGGCGACACGCCTGACAGTGCTGAAGGGGCTCAGCATGTAGAGAGCAGGTGTGGCAGAGAATCGGAAGATGGCCTTACCCTTGTTGAGCACGATGAAGGTCTGAGGGGGGGAGAGAGCCCGTGAGGCCCTGGGACAGACAGACAGATGAACGATAGACAGACAGAGAGAGTCCTCTCAGGTCCAGACCTTCTTATCACTGTAGTAAGGATCCAGGTCCTCCAGGGGGATGCCGATGATCTCCGGTGGAGGGTCCCCATAGATGAGGGGCAGATTCTTGCCGGCCTCCAGGTCACTGCGTGGCTTCCGCTCTGGCTCCTCGATTTCCTTCTGCTTGTTCTTCTGAAGACGGGCTTCCTCCTCTATTGCCCGCCGTTCTATGGCTGCCAGGGACTCCCGGGTGAAGGGACGCAGGCAGTCAGGGCCCAGGGGCACCAGGGTGGGCAGAGATGAGCTGGCCATTCTTGCATCCTGGGTTCAGGAGCCAGGAGGGTGGTAGGCAGCCGGGCAGCTGCAGCCTGCAGCCCCGGGTTCTGGCTGGCCACCCTGCCCAGGGCCTGCTGTCCACTCCTCACCTCCTGCCTGCCCAGGGTCCAGGCCAGGGAGGTGGGTGTGTGGGCCTTGTTGGGAAAAGGAGATGTGCCTGCGAGACCTGGATGCTGCTGCTGCAGAGGAGCTGGGCACAGAGCATCCCCACCCAGGCCCCACACCACACTCTCCCCAGCAGTGGGGTGGGCTGCCCTCAGGACTGACAGCAAATCAAACTGAAGACAGATCCTCTTCAGCTTGGGGACTTGGGGCTAACACCCCTGGGCTCAAGCTCTGAGAACTGTGTGGCTTCAACCTATGGGGACAAGAGAGAATCACAGCTGACTATGTCCCTGTGATCTCCAGATGGGTGAGGATGAGGGGCAGGTGGGTGGGATCAGACTAAAGCACCATTGGAAATGGATTCCATCTTGGAGGCCACATTGATCAACCACTGGCTCCCTGGAGATAGGGGTGAAGACCACTGAGGTCTCAGCCAGACTCAGTGCAAAAAGACAGCCATGATAAGCTAGTGATGTCTGCCAGGGGTGAGATCAGAAAGTGTGGCACCTCTGACTATATTTGCCATCTCTGGCCTGGAGAGAAAGGAAGAGGAGGAGGTAGAGATGTACAGTCCCCTTCCTAATTTTTGGGGTGCTTGGTATTGGGCTGGGCGAGGGAATAAGGAAGGTTCCCAGGCCCAGCAGAGGATGCCAATGGGATTGCATAGCCCCATGGGATCCAACCCCCCAGGTAGACTGAGCTGAAGCAGGGAGATGTGGAGTATGTGCACAGGGCCGTGTCAGGAGAGCTGTGGATGCCAACATGGAAGATGAGGATGTATAGGGAAGGCCTGGGGACAAGGGGATGGACAATTCCAAATGGGTCAGGACTAGTGCTCCCAGAGACTGTTTTCAGCTAGTGGTCCCTGCATGGATAGGGATAGGGGCTTTTCCCTTTGGGGCCTGTGAGTACTTTGTGGACTACTTCCTGGGCTAGTCCATGGGCCTTTCCTGGCCCTTGGGTCCTTCTGCCCAGCCTGTTCTCAATGGAAGGGCAGTGCTGGGTGACTTATCAAAAATGGCCTTAGGGGAATGACCACATTGGCAGGTAGGCACAGAAGGGCTATTCCAGTGGCTCACACCTATAATCTTAGCTACTTGGGAGGCTGAGATCTGGAGGATGATGTTTTGAGGCCAACACAGGCAAATAACTCAGAAAGACCCCCATCTCCAAAATAACCAGAGCAAAATGTACTGGAGGTGTGGCTCAAGTGGTAGAGCACCTGGTTTGCAAGCACAAAGCCCTGAATTCAAACCCCAGTCCCACCAAAAAGAAAGAAAGAAAAAAAAAAGGCCACAGAAGCCCAGTCACACATAACCAGCCACACAAGTGTAGTTCTGGGGGTCTCTGGGGGTTCTGTCAGAGTCCCTGTGTTGTTGAGGGGTGGCTCCAGAGTTCATTTATGTGGGCCCAGAAGCCACAGCAGTGCCCTTGCCCTGAGTAGCAGGTGTATTTCTCAGGCTTGGTCAACAGGTGGGGAGGATGCCAGGGAGAGGCCAGAGCCATTGGGCAGAGCTGGCTATGCCCCCTGCCAGGTCCCTGGCTGCTCCCTGCCAGCCTCAAAGGAGTTGAGTTTCAAGGGATAACTCTGCTTGCTCCTGCCCACTCCATTCCTCAGCTGCTCCTTGACCCCATCGTGTGCACAGGTGCATGGGTGTGCACACACACCCATGCCCAGGCTGGAGCCTCCCTCACACACAAGTTCTCACAGCCCTGTCACACACCACATCACCTTTCTCCCCATCACCCCCAGCTGGCCCCTGACTACTCACATCTGCTTGTCATCACATGAGGATGCTGGCCTGCCAGATGGCCTGGGAGGGACCCACCCAGTTTACAGTCTCTGCTTGCCAACTCTGCCCTACATCTTCCTGGTCCAGCTCAATATAAGATCCTGGTAGCACTCTTTCTGTCCATCACAGTAGCCCAGGGGGGCCAACAAAAAAAAAAGTCAAAAAACAAAACACAGATCCACAGTCTGGCTCCAACCTGGCACTGGAGGAACCTAATCTCACCTGAGTCACAGGACCCTAGTGAATAGCCCCAGTGTCCCTTCTCAGATGACCCAGAGCATCCTGCACTGCTCCAGCCTTTTTTTTTTTTTCTTTTTTGTGGTACTGGGGCTTGAACTCAGTACTTACACCTCGAGTCACTCCACCAGTCCTTTTTTGTGATGAGTTTTTGTTTTTTTTTTTCTGAGATAGGATTTCACAGACTATTTGCCAGGGGTTTGGTTTGAACTGTGATCCTCCTAATCTTTGCCCCCTGAGTAGCTAGCACCTGGCCAGTCTTTCTTCTTGAGAACGATGGGTCCAGTCCTCTGGCCCCTCTTCTGCTCTCTGCTATGGGAACTCCCCCTTCCCAGCACTGGAAGCAGCTTTCTGGCACAGAACACATCTCTTCCTTCTAAACTGGTGCTTCATCTGAACCCCCTCTCCTCCTAGTCTGTCACCAATCCTGAAACCACTTCATGTCTGCATGTTTTGTTATGGGAGGGAGAAAAGTATCTTTGTTGACTTGGCCACTTGAAGGCCAGTTTGGGCTGGTGGCTGCCAAAAGCATGTTGATGGTAGATGTGGTCGGTCCCCACGCCCTGCGATGTCCCATCCCAGCACTGCCATCCCCTCTATTTTCTGGGGCTATGGCTGCTGGCATGCACCCCTCACCTGCTCTGTTCACATAACCTCCCACTCAGTCCCTTCTTCTCAGCTTCTCTCCAACCCACCACCCGCATTTCTAAAATCACAAATCTGATCTTGTCACACACACACACATACTTCAGTGGCTTTAACAGAAGTCCCAAACTCCTCCATCTGGCTTCTCCCTGATCCAGTTCCTACCTCAGCACCTGACCCCTTCCCCATACCCACTCACCCTGTGGCCATGCTACTTTTCCATTTTCACAAACCTGCCATGTGGTTTCCCACCCTGCCGCTGTGGTGCCTTTGCCTGTGGTCTGTTGCCCTTCCAGAGCACCCATCTCTGTCTTCTGGAGAGCTTCAATTTGTTCTTCCCTCAGGAAGCCCTCCCTGGGCACCCTGGCTGGATACATCATGCCTAATGCTCCATAAAAGTTTATTGAATGAACAAATGAATGAAAGAATCTGAGAGCTTCTCCACCTCAGCCCGTCTCCTTGAATTGTACCCTGAACCTAAATCATAATCAGAGACCACAGCTCCTCTGATATCGCTGCATAAAACTCTCCCCGTCCCCAGTGCATCCTCAGCTGGTGGCTCAGGGGCTGTTGCGGTGGACCTTGGCCCTGCACCTTCTCCCTCCCATCAGATCCCTGTCTCCCGACTTCACTTCCCTCCTCACCCAGCCTCAGTACTGAATTCCTCCCTTATCCCCCAACCCCAGCCTCCTCCTTCCCTCCGTCACACTCGCTTGGGGAAACCCCAACCTACACCTCCCAGCTGTGCTCTTCTGAGTCTCCCCTGAGCAGCTGGCTGTTGCTGGACAGACCCTTACTGGGCTGTGGTTTTGCACTCTTACTTTGCCCTCAATCCTGCTTGCCTTGTAGGTGCAGGATTTTCTAGTAGGCTCATTTTTCCACTTTCTGAAAATGAATATCTCGTGTCTTCTGATATTTTCTCAAACCCCCAATCTCTTGATTCTCCCAGCTGATGGCCCTGGCTCCTCCCTCATTGAGAAAGCAGGACCCATCATACATGGTCAAGTTCATAGCCATTCCCCACTGCACTGCCACTTTTCCTCCCGTCAGACTAGAAAATAATAACATCAAAGGCCAGGCCTTCCACTTGGGCCCAGGACCTCGACTCCCCTTCTTCTGCAGGACCTCCTTCTCTGGTTATCTTTTCTCTCTGCCACTCATTGACGTCTTCCAGTCTCTGAGCAGCACTAGTGTCTCCCACCTTAAAAATACCAGCAGCTATGACAAAATGACCCTCTCAGTCTCACACCTCTCTTCATCCATCATCCATTGGCCTATTTTTCTGTCCCTGTTCACAGAAAAACTTCTTGGAAAGTGTCTACACCAGCTGTCTCTACATCCTTACCTTTTGTTCACTCTTCAACCCAGTCCAACCTGGCTGCCATCTCTCCCCGCTCAACGGAAACGGCTTTTGTCAAGTCGCTAACACCCTCCCCACTGCCAAGTCCTGAGCACATGTTTCTGTCTTCACCTCCTTTGACCTCTCAGAAGCATTCAACCCGATTGGCCACAGCCCCTTTCTGGAATATTCTATTCTGCCAGCCCACAAGGAATCACGCTAAGGTTTCTCGTCTTCGTTTCTGGTCACTTCTTACTGGTTTCCTTTGTGTACCCTCTTTCTCTACCCAATCTTTTAGAGTTGCTGATGGCTCATTCTTCACAGGGTGGCATCATTGCTACGACAGTGAATAATACCACCGGAACAAGACAGACCTTTCCTTTGACCTACACACTGAAATATCCCACTGCCTCCTGGACGGCTCCATGGGAATAGCTAAGAGGCACTCCAAATGGAACGAAAAATTGTGTTTTTTTTTTTTTTTTGGTGGTGGTACTGAGGTTTGAACAACTCAGGGCCTTGCACTTGGACCACACCCCCTAGTCCTTTTTTTTTTTTTTTTTTTCTGCTTTAGTTACTTTTGGATGAGTTCTCACATTTTTGCTCGGGACTGGCCTAGGACTCTGATCCTCCTTTCAGAGAGCTGGGATGACAGGCACGTACCACCGTGCTAAGCTTATTTGTTGACATGGGGTCTTGTGAACTTTTTGCCTGGGCTGACCTTGACCCATGATCCTCTTGATGTCTGCCTCCTGAGTAGCTAGTATTATAGACACCCATCACCATGCCTGGCTAAGTTTGTGTTCTTCCATGGCTCCACCCATTCTCTTCCTAAAGCCAGAAAATGGCACTGCCCCCATTCAGCTGCTCAAGTCAAAACCAATATGTCTCCCTGAACCCTTCCTCTCCTCACCATTTACATCCCGCTTGTTTAAACTTGTACTGATGCTGTCTCCAAAACACCCCTAAACTTTACCCTTCTCCAGTTTCCCCTCCCAGACCACAATCATCTCTTGTAGTACCTAGTTTCCTGCCAACCACTTTTGCCAGTCCCCCTCCAAACTGCTCCCATACATAGCCATTGATCTTTTAAAACCAAAACCCAAATCATCTCCTGTCAAATTAGTCAGTACAAGTAACTTCCATCACACTTCAAATCAGCCTAAATTTCCTGTGGTGACCTCCCAGGCCCAGCCTACCTCTCCTTCTTTGTCTCCTGATCCCCCCTGCCGTCCCCCGGTGTCACAGAGCTCCAGCCCTGCTGGCCTCCTTGACCACTAAGCTTACTCCTGCCTTTGGGTCTTTAGTGGTGGTTCCTTCTCCTCCTGGTCTAAGCTCAAATGTCCCCTACTACAAGAGACTTTCTTCCTCTTTTACTCTGCCAGAGTCTCCTATATTTTCTTTGGCATCATTTATTATAATTTTTTTGCCCAATTTATTTGTCTCCTCCACTAGATCGAAGCACCAACAGAGGAGCAACTTGTGTTTGTCTAAGTCACCACAGCTGGTCCTTGCCTTGGACATAGACCTTTCCAGGGATCTCACAGACACTTTCCGTTTTTTTGTTTGTTTGTTTGGTAGCACTGGGGTTTGAACTCAGGACGTCACACTTGCAAGACAGAAACTCTTACCACTTGAGCCACTCCACTAGCCCTTTTTTTTTGTGATGGGTTTATTTGAGATAAGGTCTCTTGAACTATTTGCCTGGGGCTGGCTTCCAACTTTGATCATCCTGATCTCTGCCTCCTCTGTAGCTAGGATTATAGGCGTGAGCCACTGGTACCCGGCTTCTATGTTTTATTCATCCATCCATCCACCCACCCATCCATCCTCCCATCCATCCATCCTTTTCATAGGCCAGAAACTGAGTTGGCCATGAGTAAGACTCAAAGATACCCAGTTAGGTGCTCTGCCTACAGAGGGCGAGCAGTCTGGGAGAAGATGAACATGGGCACACATGACATCCCAGGGAGAGGGAACAGCCTGGCAGAGCAAAGTGACACAGAGACACAGGAACCCACTCCCATGGAGACTTCAAGCTGTTTGTGACATGAAGGAAAGGTAGGATAGCAGTGGGGCCAGGGCTTGATGTCAGGCCTGGGGATCTGGCTTCAACCTGCAGCCCTAGAGAGGCCCTCTCAGGGGTGGGAGGTCAGGTGGAGTTACTTCATCTACCACATATGTTCCTTCTGCTTCCCCTTCATGTGTGTCTAGAACATATGGGACAAACTGTGTTGTATTCAGTGGGCATCAGGGGAGGTGTGGAGGACATCTGGGATATATGGACAACAGTGATTTCTGGATAGGGGCAAAGCACAGACAAATGTTCTATAACACAAAATAAGTGATGTGCTGAAAGGTCTCCACGTGGCCCCTTGGGCCACAACGAGAAGTGAACAGGGCCAAGATGACAGCCCCAACTCTCCTTCCACCCACCTCCACCCCAGTCTTGTCCCTGAGATGTGGCAGCTGAGGGCCTTGGAACGGCAGGTAACTTCTGAGTATTTGAGAAGGCTGGAGTTGCAAGGACCTGAGAGAGCAAAGAATCCAACTCCCTCATATCCTGATCTGGATCTGAAGACCAGGGAGGGACAGCCACTCCCCCAGGCCACACATTTATTCATTCGACAAATTATTTCTGGACATCTGCAACAAACTGGGTTCTGGTCCGGGTGTCAGGGCAGACTGCAGTGGTGACAAAGTCCCTGTCCTCACTGAGCTTGCATTCCAGAGGGAGAACACAGACAGTAAATAGGGAAGCAAATAAGATAATTTTAGAGAGTGATAAATGAGAAGCCAAGCCAAGGCTAAAACCCAGCTCCTCAGGCGCCAGGGCTGGAGACCAGTTAACAAGTGAAAAGTCCCATTGGAACCTCCTTGGAAAAGGAAGTTTGGGCAGAAGTGGTGGGTAAAGTCAGGCTTCCTGGGGGCCTGGAGGTGGTGAGCAGACTGGGATGCGGGTGGGGGAGGAAGGGTCAGGAATGGTGAGCCAGGCTGGGGCCAGCTGTCTGCAGGCAAGGAGCCGAGGGTGAGGACACTAAGGGCGAGGCAGCTCTTGCTGGAGCTGGTCCAGCCCAGCATTGTCTCTCCTTGTGGAGCAGTCAGATGGGGACACCCAATTCCAGATATAGTCTGCCGGCAGAGGCCTTTTCTCCCTGGCCTGGACACCCTTTGTGTCCATTCATCCCAAGATGGCCCTGCTTCTTCAACAATGCCAATCACAGTCCAATCACAATGTGCAGTTTGTCATCACCCTGGGTCTTTCCCTCAGGGGTTGGGTCTAAGGAGATCTTCCCCAGCCTATAAGCTATGCAACTGATTTTTCTCTTTTCAGTCTACATACACCTCAACAAAATATTAGCCAATTAAATCCAACAATGTATTAAAAAATTATACAGCATGACCAAGTGGGATTTGTTTTTGAACCTGCTTTGCATACCTTCAACATCAACATAATTGAAAATCAATTAATATAATCTATGATATCAATAGGCTAAAGAAGAAAAAATCACATGATTATATCAATAGATGCAGAAAAAGCATTTGACAAAAGTCTAACATTCATTCTTGATAAAGACTCAGCAAACTAGGAATAGAGGAAAAATCACTCAAGTTGATGTGGAAAATTTATCAAAAACCCTACAGCTAACATCTGTCTTAATGGTGAGAAACTAGAAGCTTTTCTACTACAATCAGGAATAAGGCAAGGGTGTCTTCTCTCATCACTGCTTTTTGACACTGAACTGGAAGTCCTAGCTAATGCAATAAGACAAGAAAAGGGAATAAAAGGTATATTGATTGGAAAGGAAGAAATTAAGATGTCTGCTTGCAGATGACATGATTGCCTATGTACAAAGTCAGAAATGACAAAAGACTCTTGGAACTGATAATTATAGCAGAGTTGCAGAACATAAGATTAGCATAAGTCCAGGGTAGGTCTTTACATTGATCTCTACTTAAGTTTTCTTTTTAATTTACATATATTTATCTCCTGTCTTTTGTGAAGGATATTTGTGGTACTGGGGTTTGAACTCTGATGGTAGACACTCTACCACTTGAGCCACTCTGCCAGCACTTTTTTGTGCTCTTTTGAGACAGTGTCTCATGAACTATGTGCCCAGGCTGGCTTTGAACTGTGATCCTCCTGATTTTCTCCCGAGTAGCTAGGATTGTAGGTGTGAGCCACTGGTGCCTGGCCTGTTGGATCTTGATTTCTCCTCAGTTTGAGTCCATCCCTCAACTGGGTATCCTGATAGTCCCAAATTAGTGGCCACACAAAGCTCAAGAAAGAACTCCCACCTTCCCTACCAGCTGCCATACGCTTCTTGAACTTTTCCTTCTAGAAAGAGATATCCAGATCAGTTTCTTCAGATATCCAGAAACTCACCCAACTGTACCGCATCAACCTGAAATGTCCCAGTGGTCTCAGCCATGCCTCTGCCAGCCCAGGATATAAAATCTGCTGTAAGATACCCTCCTAAAAGTCTGAGAATGGATGTGACCTGACCCTCACAGCCTTCTCCATTTACTCTAGGGCACATCCCTGGAGGTGCAGAAATGGCACACAGCTTGCTGGCCTTTCTAAGGGCCCAGCCACTGCCCCTTTTGCTCAGCCACCATGTCCTTGACTCCAGCAAAGGTGCTGGTCACTCCCTAGTGTCTGATGAAGCAAAATTACCTAAAGCTGTATGAGGTCAGTAGAGATCTCCTTTAAGCTTCACCTGCAATGGAGGCTCAGGTATAGAACTTTCTAGAAGACCAAACTTTTCTATCCTGTCAAAGACAACACTGGGCATCCAGGTGGATGCCTTCCCAAGTTCCTGGGCTCCCACTGTGACTCAGGTCCAAGAATTAATCCTCAGGCAAAGAATTAATCCTCATGTGCCTCTAGCTGTAGGACAAGTCACAGCTTTTACTCAGCTGGGCCAGGCTGGGGTGGGGATGGGAGAGGTAGCTATGTTATTTTTCTGCCAGCACTTGTCCTGGAGAGGAGGGAGAGCAGAGCAGCCTTGGCAGGCCAGGGCCTAGAGGAAGTCACCGGGGTGGCCCTCCCCTCTTGGCCTAACACTCTCTTCAAAGGAAATCTGGTCCAAGGGGCCTTGGAGGGCAGCCTGGAGCCAGGAGCGGAAACCCCTAGACACTCAGAGGCCCCAAGAATTCTGGACACCAACTGGAGTCACTTGGCATGGAACTTCTGAAAGAAAGTGGCTAATGCTGATTATGTTTTCTAGTGGGGCTCAGAGTGTCAAAGAAACCTCTCTTTTTTCCATTCGATCCAACCAACCTGGTAATTTGTTCTACCCAAGGGGTAAGAATGACAGTGGTGGCCACATTTATTTTGGCCTGACTGATGCCATGGTTGGCTGTCTGTTCAGCAGCCCCTCCTTCCAGAATCAGTCCCCTTTCTTGCCAATCTCTCCAGGAAACCTGGGAAGTTTCTCCCAAACCTTCTGCCTCTTCTTAGCTCCATCCTTTTCCCCTACCCAGAGTGCTTCTGGTTGGCTCAGGCCCCAGTGAAATAAGGAGCTACACATGGCTCTATTTGGCTTTTGTGCACTGTACCTCCTTCCTGCTACCCCCCTCATGGCTCATCTGTGACCCTAGAAGCTTTTCTTCCTAGGAACAAGGTCCCAGTGTGCATCTTCCCTCTCAGGTCTGAGCCTAAAATCAAAGGCACCTTATATCAAGATGTGGAAATCCCAGGCTTCTGTCAGCTTGGGAAAGCATCCTTGCAACGGGAGGGGTTTTTGACCCCCAATCTCAGAGCATTCACCTGTACTTCTGATGTGCATGGGGGCTGTAAGATAGAGATTTAAATTACTATTTCTTGATAAAAAGTGATGGTGAGTATGTTCCTTTGGTGCTCACCATGTTCCAGGCCCTCTTCCAAATGCTGCACTTTCCTCATCCTAGTTAAGGAGCAATAGAGTCAGGATTTGAACCCAGCTCTCTCCACAACAAATCTATGTGCCTGCTACTACAAATGTGGTTCCCTTCAGCCTCCTCTGGGGAACTGGGCAGGGTGTGGCTGCTCTTCTGTAGCACAGGTGGACCCCTGGACTGGCCTGGCACTCACCTATCTTCTTCAAAGGGCAGGCCAGAATCCTTGTTTCAAATTCCCGAAAGGTGTGGTGTGGGCTACTGCGGGTGCCTGGCAGACTTGGCAGGATTGCTCAGGCCACTGGGGGACTTCCTGTTGGAAGCTGGGGCCATGGGGAGGGAAGAAAGGGGGGAACTAGTTAACAGTTTGGCAAGGACTCTCCCTCGATGTTTGGTTTCTATTGGCATCCATCGATTGTCATATACACCCTACAACCCCCACCATGGTCCACTTGTGCATGTGTACAGCACACACTCATCAGCTCTGTGAGTCATTTCAGCTGCTCCAGGGGTAGGGAGGCTGATTTGTTCCACCCAGCTCTGGGCTTTCTGTACTTGTTAACCCAGGTCTTTTCTCTTTTTTTCTCTCCTTGCTTCTTTCTTTCCTTCCTTCCTTCCTGTACTGGGGTTTGAACTCAGGACCTTGTTCTTTTTTCTTGGAGCACTAGGGTTTGAACTCAGGGCTTTATGTTTGCTAGGCAGGCACTCTTACTGCTTGAGCCACTCCGCCAGCAGGACCTTGTTCTTACTAGGCAGGTGCTCTACTATTTGAGCCTCACCCCCAGCCCCTTTTTTGCTTTAGTTATTTTTCAGATAGGACCTAGTGGGGTTTTTTTGTTTTGTTTTTTTCCCAAGACCAGGCTTGGACTGAGATCCTCTCACCGATACCTCCCAAATATCTGGGATCACAGGTGTGCATCACCATGCCCAGCCCTGGCTTGGGTCTTTATAAGGAGCCCCCAAGCATGGTGAGCTGGACACAAGTGCTCCCTCGCCAAACTGGCATGTGCATAGATCCCCTTCTGCAGCTGTGTCTAGGCCCACCTCACCTGCTCCTAGACAGATCCACAGAGCTGCTTCCCCTCACGCCAGCATCTTCTGCCTGTCTCATCTCGGGAATGTTTTCTTCTATTTGGGTAGCCCCTCCCAAGTCTGGAAGAATTCCAGGGCCCACCTGGTGCCCCTTTCTCTCCATCAACCCCCAAAACCTAGATCAGGTGGGCTGAGGGCCTGCCTTGCTGAGACATTGAAGCCAGAGTCATGGCCCCCAGTCCTCCAGCTACACCTGAAATCAAGGAAGGTTGCCCAGCACCCTATGCTTGGAGCACTATGTACCTGCCCCTCAGCCAATCTGCTCTGTGCTCCACTGGGAACTTTTTCCTCCCAGAAACTGCTCCCTGATTCACCTTGGAGATTCTTCTCCAAAATTCGAACTCACAAACCTCAGGAAAAAAAAAAAAGACAAGAGTCAGTGGCAGATCTTACTAAGAGGGAGCCGGAGGGCCTCTGCCTTCCTGGCTTCCAAGTCTTCGCCACCATGTCTGCAGACCTCGGCCTCACTGCAGGGCAGCCCCCTTTACAAAGGACCCTCACCCTGGGCGATCAGATAGAAAGCACATTTCTCACCCGACCCCTCACTCAGAGCTGAGTCAGATTGGCCTTCTTGTAACTTCTTTCCTCCTTTTCTTACCCCAACATAAAACATTTCATTTCAGGGCCACAGCCTGTGACAGCCACAATGTTTTGCGAACACATACAAAGCTACTGTGTGCAGGCACTGTT